TAATTAGGGATTGAAGTATGAATTAGTTTTTAAAATATTATTAATATTAATTAAATATAAAAAACCTGTATGTGTATAAAAAATATCTGATTTTTGAAACTTAAACTTTCAAATCTGATTTTAGAAATTGGATCTCCAAAAGTAGGGCTCCATGTAATTTCCACTAATCAAATTAAGGAGCCCGTTAAACTTCACACACCAAATGCCTAAGAGTGAAGAATTAAAAAACGAAGAGGCAAATTTCAAACAAAAGAGCCCAAATTCGAACTAAACCTTGGTCAAGGCTCTGTTTGGAGAAAGACAATTACTTATAATTACTCACTCAATGGACTCTTCTGTAATCATCTTAGAGTTGTTGGATGAGACGTAGGCCTTGTTTGATAGATATAAAATCGGATTTTTAGTAAATTTTAATAAAAGTTGATGAAATATGTTGTTGAAAAGTTGTGGGTCCTATGTAATATGTTGTTAAACTTAATTGTTGACTTGACTTGGATTTTTATCGAATTTTTTAACGGTACCAAACATGAACTTTGATGTAGAACAAATGGTTGAGTGGATTGAAGAAGAATTGAATCGAAAAGAGAAAAATGTAATAGTGCATGTGTGATGTTCGAGCTCTGATTTAGGCGCATAATACTATTTTCAAAAAGAGAATGACTAGAAGAGTAAAACTCACCACTTTCTTGTGACATATGATGGATTTTAGTCATCCGAGTTCGTTTAGGAGTCAAAAATTGCTTTTAAAGTTTAGAGCTATTTTTGTCATTTAATTTATTTCGAATTATTTACAATTTTAGTTCGTTTAAACTAGATTTTTACGTAAACCATTATAAATAAAGGGTTATTTCATCGCTTTTTATGATCTCACATTAATAAAATTTCCTGAGTTTTTTCTTTGTAATTTGGTGGATTCCAAAAATTGTGTTCTTAAGGTTTTCGCTTGAAATTTCTTGTTTCGCGTTGCGTTAGGCTTAATCTATGGTGGAGAATAAGGGTACTTGTAAGTTATAACACTTTCTTGTGCCCTAATTGCACATTGTGTTCACATCGCTCATCTTCTCTCTCTATAGTTGCATGTTTGAGTTTTTTTGTTCACTGTATGAGTAATTTTGGTGAGTGTTAAGAAGAGTTGAGTGGAACTTCTGGTTCCTTTTGTGGTCCCATTAATGTAGTATTGCGTGAAAGAGATTCGAGTCTAATTATTCATAGCATTCTATGTATGAGAGGATTCAAAATCACTTTGAACCCTAATCACTGTGGATACACCTTTGGTGTTGAAGATTCTGACTTAAAATAGTTTGATTTTCAACTTCGTATTGAAGTTCATTGCGTAATAGTGGTATCAAAGCCTTTTGAGGCGATACAAGGTTCATGTTCATCTACAAATTTGAGAATTTCACTAGTTGTCAAGAACCCAAGTTTCTTGACGTTCTCCCCTCCCAAAGTCAATCCCTTGGCTTAATTCTTGTCTTGTTGATCTAGGGTTGTCGCATATCAAAAGAACGGCCAAATTTAAATATAATTTTTCTACATTTTTTTCAACCATACATTTTTCATAAAATAATATTACACGTAAATTCAAAACTTCCCCTCAGTTTTTAACCTTACATTTTTCATCAATCTACTATTCCAAAATGCATTTTTAACCTGCTCGAACAAGCTCTTAAAATTTTTATATTCTCTATTAATTCTACTGCAACAGTTCTATATTTAAAATTATTAATTTTTAATATATTAATATAATTTATGTACTCGTGGGAAAATTATGACCCACTTGGGCTTTAAAAATCGTAATATTCGTTTTCTATTTTATAGGAGACACATAAGAGTATATTTCACTCGCTAAGAGATGTTAGCATTTTACTTCGAGAAGAATTCCTTCATAACCCATTCCTAATTTTATCAAAGTAATTATGAGCAATTGGCTAAACTTATATAGCAAAACAAAGAACACTAATGAAATTCCATGCTAACAAGGAGAAACAATTAAATCCCAGTTAAATTTAATACTCCCGACAGAAAATTACTGAAACATGTGCTGCGAATTAGATTTATACATACGATAAGAGAACATTTTATTGTCCACTCTTCGATTTCTTAATTGGAGGCTTGGAAGATGTTTCATTGTCGTCTTCTGAAGAGACCTCTTCCGGTTCATCAGGAACTTCAGTTGGAATATTATGTTTCGTTATGAAGTCCTTCAGTATGCTCATGCTCTGCTCCTTCACTGAAACCAATTGCTCAGAAAGAACCCCGTTGTTTGCCTGAACAAAGAATGTTTCTGATCCTAGGTGAATGGTGGCTCTAACACATGGATAGGAATGTACAGCATCTGTCAGCTGAGCTTCCATAATGCAATTTTTTGCCGCACCTGCATCATGAAATTCTTTATTAAAATCGTATTCATATTTAAACTCCACTTAGCTCGAGTAATATCAAATCACACACTAGCTGTTAGTCGTGGGACTCAACTCACCCACTCCCGTATGACCTGTGCCACCTGTCTTTATAAAAGCAAAGGCAGCAATAGTATGTTCCCAAACCTAACATTGTTCAGATAAATATAGTGGGAACATACTAGGAAAAAAAATTTGGTAGGAATGATGGGGACAAATTAAGTTTGTTGGAATCTAGTTGATGTTTCTTAACCTAAGCGTGTTGTTGCCTTCTTCAAAAATAAACAGTTTCAGTTACATTTAAAAATCATTGAAAATTTATGAATTTGGTGGATCAAAGTCACATTTAGAATATAAAGTCCTTTAATTTGAGTGAAATAGTAGAGGCTCTCAACCCATTTGTGTCCTAATAAGCTGGTCTCCAACTGTCGAAATATGTGGTAAGTTGGTCCACAGTGGGTGGTGGTTGTCAACTTAACCATTAAAAGGAGAGTTATACCCTTACTATAAATCAAAACAGAAAAATATACAGTGATAAAAGAAGAAATACGAAAAACAACTATTTTCTTTGTCCCCCCCATCCACAGCCATGGCCACCCCA